CGGGGGGTGGCGAGCAGGGGGCGTGTATGGTCTCAAGGGTGGTGGAACAAGTAGTCATGTATGTGGCATTAATGACTGGACAATTAGCAACATGTTGGAGACAGAAGTAGGACTTCAGGAGTGTCTGCTTCCAAATAGGATCTGTTCTTCCCTGCTTCCCTGTTGGCTTCTGGGTGTCTCCTGATTGCTATGTAAATTGAATTGTGGCCACTAGTTGAGGGCTGTTTGGTATAGGTAACATAGATTTATCTGTGGATATAGGTATCTATGGATAATGAGGGAAAATGAAAACCCAGAGGGGCAGATGTTGCTGTGAAATGCTCTTTACTTCACATGCTCAGCTTGGCAAAAGCATCTTTTTTGTCCCTCACAATTTGCCTGTGGTTACTGAGGTGTTTTTTTCCCCCTGCAGATATTTAAGTATCAACAGTCAGAAAAGAGTCAATAACAATTCTCACTCTCCTCCTCGTAAAAGCAATACTGAAAATATCTTAAACATAGCCTGCTGAAGCTTAAAGCCTAAAATGCGTTTGCTGGACATGAGCCCAGCCTGGAGTTACTGGATCCTCAGTGCTCTCCAACGCTGACCTTTGAGAGTGCTCACATTTAGAGGCAGTTTCTCGCACAGATGATGGTCTCTGAAGATGGAGTTCTAAGAGAACTCCACCAACCATGCATGAAATACCCCATTCTACAAGGCAAATCCCATTAATAAAATAGCCAGGGCCAGATTCAAAGCTTAATGAAATCAATGGAAGTCCCTTTCTTTCACTAAGTTTTGGATACGGCCTTGAGTTCTTGAAAACTCTGTAAGAGAGGTGTTATTTGAAGACTCCAGCACTTTGGGAACCTCCTTTAACATCCTGGGTAGGCCATTAAAAATCCAGTACAACCATCTTGAGGTCAGAGAATGCAATCAGGAGTTAAACCAGCAGAATTTTACCCTACCACCTCTACAGTGAGCTAAACCCAATCCCCAATGTTAACTTTTGGAAACTCCTGATCCTTCTACCCTAATAGTGGGCTGAACCCTAAAGGCTGGAGCAAACTCGGTAGAAGATAAAAATCGCAGGTGACCTTCAGGGGTCAGCCCATACCCCACTCAGAACCTGCTACACCTTTCTCTCCCTCTGAGCCTTGGTATACTCATAGGTCGAATGACCACAGTATTTTAGAAGATGCTTGTCCAATCAAAAAGGAAGCCACATAGATAACTTGTCTTTAAAGGAAAATCAATTCACCTGAAATACATTGCAGGTGACCCACCTTACTGTTCATCAAAGGATATTCAACAGGTTTCCCTATATCCTGATTGCTTAATCTGGACAGCAGTCACAGCAAACACCCGCAGAAATGCATCCTCCTACTAAAGAGGTGAACAGGGCAAGCATCAATATTGAGGTGACATTAAAAAAAGGCAGAAGGAACAAAGCACTACCATTGAAACAGTCCATAGTGACGTAATGATCAAAACATCCTCATCACTTCTCGGCCTGTCCGTTTGTTTTCATCAGAATCTCAACAAATGTCTTTGGCTAGAAGACTTCGGAGAGAAATTGCTTGAAACAGAACCATAATGCAGTTGCAGTACTGAACCAAGTGTGCAGTTTATGTTTATACTACAAAGTGAGTTTTGGTAACCTCTCCACAGCCAGAGGACAGAGAAATCCCAAACTACACCATTGACAATAAGCACAATGTTCAGCGTGGGCTGACAGGTCATCAGACATAATCCTAATCCTTTGTCCTCTATTGCATTTCAGCATACCAATATAAAAGTGTTCAGATTTTACTTTTCTTTTTAAAAAATCTTCAAACAGTACTGGGTTATGTGGGTTTGGGGAACGGGTGGAGAATGAGCCGGAAGGGGACAGGTGGCAAAAAGAAAAAAAAAAAAGAAGAAATGCAAACCAAGACATACACCCTTAGAAGAGAAATACCAAACCCCGCAAATCACAATAAAAAGAAATTATTTTTGGCACCCAGACGCTTGGAGATTGCAAAACTGTTGACTAAAAGAAAAGGAGGTGATCACTATGGAATGGCTTTAACATCTTTTTGTACACACCTGCAGGGGGTGTGAACAAGGATGAGAGAAATTAATGCTGTTTTTTTCCTCTTTGCAAAATACAAATGTAAAAATTTGTAACACAATTTTACACTCATAAAAGAGTAGACTAACAATCTAGTTTGCAATGCCATGTTTCTGACTTTGGTTAATAGTTTTCATAGTGAATCAGCACTTGATACCTGAAAGGCTACAATCACTCCTCCAGGTGGCAGGCTTGTATTCTCTTTTAAACCGAAAAGTTTTTTTTTTCTTTTTTTTTATTTTTTTGGTGTGTTTTGTTTTTCCTTAAAATGTGTTCACATTTTCATAATATACAGAAAAAAGTAAGCAGTTATTTGGTTTATTTTAAGTCCATTAAAAAAACTGGCTTTTTCTTTTTTTTTTGGAACTAATTCTACGACACACACACAGTAAGTGTTGTGTATTTTTTGTTATGTTTTTTAAATAGGAAAACCCACGGACATTTATAAACTGTTCTGTCCTTCTTGTAGTTTTCTCAGTCTTTTACTTACAAGGGTGATGAACAGGTATTTTCACAGAGTTCGAATAGTTACGTTTCTGTTGGTGTGGGTTTTTTTCTGTGTGTGGTTTGGTTTTGTTTTGTTTTTAGGAGTTTTCTTCCAGAGAGTCTGTTAAAGGCTCCATAGGAACTGCCGTCGCAGGCTCGTGTTGTTTCAAACGTTTAATTGTGTTCTTCAGTGCTTGCCTCTTATTGCAGAACCAAACTCTAACTACTTCCCGGTCATAGTTCAGTTTCTCTGCAATCTCTGTCATTTCTTGCCCAGAAGGGTGCGTGTTCTTCTCAAAGTGGGCATTCAAGATTTCAAGGGCTTGTGGCGTGAATGAGGTACGCCTCTTGCGCTTTTTGGATGGTTCGCTTCCAATAAACTCGGTAAGGTTCTGCATACCTGCTCGATGGCGGGCCTCAGCCTCAGCCATCCACCGCTCAAGCACCGGCTTTATCTTCTGGGCACTTTTAGGGGTGATGTCCAGCTTTTCAAACCTGGCAGGATACAAAAGGCCAGGGTTCAGTTTGGCTGTCAGACTGCTAGCTATAGTGTTCTCTTGGGCTTCCTGTGGTAGGAAAAAGTGGCTTCTCAGGATGGTGTGTCTGAGGGAAAATTGAGAAAGAAGAGTCTTACACTGATGCTCTGCCAGGGTGGGACTTCCTGCCTGCCTGACTAATTGACTGGCAGAGGTAATTTACAATGGATTACGAGTATAGCTATATCTATAGTCATATATAAAGAGAGCTAAGACAAAACGAGCACTACAACAAAATTCTAAGTACACTAAATAATACAGGTTATAAGTTGCATTTTCGTATTTCTGACGATCTTCAAAACCCTGAAGGCTAAGTCTGATTACAGGAAATGACATCAAAGGCAATTGCTCTTTATCATCTCGTCTTTGTGATGAATCCTTTTGTTTCCCCTCCCATCCCATGTTGTCCAAACACCACAGCTTTAATAGTACAAACCAGTGGCAGTTACTAGCCTCTGAATATCAGGTTTTCTTTCCTTTCATTTTTCAGCAATTTTCACTGTTTGCAAGTTAATGCTATATCTCCTTTCTGGGTCGGAAAAAGATTCCCATATCTACGATGGTGTTCAGCTGAAACAGCTGGACACTTTGCAATTATCTTGACTGCCCCCACAATGTGCAAAGACAGACTCATGTTTTCCAGATGAAACCCAGCATAATAGTCTACTAATATGCTGTGGCACCAAGCTGGGTTTATTGTGGGATTTCTGCAAACTGTACCAGAATGATATCATTTCCTGTAAATGAGGTCCTCTATATATCATTTTGCCATCAAAAGTCTTTTGCCAAACCAGATTTTACAAGTATTATAAAACATCTGGAAAAGCAGCCACACAAAGCTTTAATCCTTTCAAAAACAAGCAAGAGCTGAGTTCACATTTCAAGTCTTACAAGTACTTGTTTCTTTCATTTACCGAGTTCATCCTCTCTTGCTACACATAAAAAAGTCTTAACCCAAGTCCTCTGATGCCACCCGTGAGCGTTTCCCCACTTTGCCTACATCCACCCCACGCATTGCGGTATTTAATGTTGCGGAAAGGCAACAATTATTGCATGATGCTGCTGCACTCTTCAGCCCACCCAGTGCTGAAGCACCACCGCTGCCCCTAATCACAACATGCTCTGCAGAAGAGACCATCTGAATCAATGCCCCTGTGCAAAGCAATCCGGTGACTGGAGCTGGCAATTTTTAGTGTCTCTATTCAGCACATGGTGGCTGCAGAAAATATTCCAGCAAGAAACAAAGCATTTCTCACAAACGAAAAGACAAGGAATAATTTCAGATAATAACACTCAAAAGAATTTGTAACTGGTGCCTGGGATCCTAGTGTCGTATTGACTGCAAAGTGACCTTCCTTGGTGTCCAGTGATATTTCAGGATGAAGTGTATGTTTTAGAATGTATTGTCTCAGTTTAAGAAAATGCCGTTATTTGCACCCAGAACATATCAGCATGGTGGTATATTGCTGATATGACCTGCACAGACAGCCAGGAGACTCTGCTTCTGTCTCCGAGTTGGTCATTCAGCTTCCTTACCTTACTGTCCCTTCCATTACCCTGGAATTCGTACTGAAACGCCTTTGTTACCATTAAAAGAAAAGTTAAACCTACTGTTTCTGTGGAACAGCATGTTGCCACTGAAGCAGCTTGTCTTGGTGCTTAACAAGAAATGCACAGTCATAGCAGGTTATTATACCCTGAAGTGATATCCCCCTGGGGCAGTCAAAGGAAATAAAAAAACCTGTAACTTTGCAAGTATTTGGGACAAGCTTCTGCACCCAGTCCTCATGTTCTGAGCAATCTGCCTCTTTAAAGAGCCCTCTGTGAAAGATCTCCACATTCTGGGCTTTTGTTAGCCATGTCTGTGCTCTAACTTCGTCATCATTGGCGTTTTCATGATAATCAGTTAGTGGGGAACCCTTTAACTTAGTAAAATTCAAACCATCCCCAGTGGTTTTCTGAAGTGTGAGGTAGATGGAGCAAATGAGAAGACAGCAAACTAGACAAAAGCAAAGCAAACTGCAATTTATCATTTTAAAGTATCGCATGTTAAACAGGAACTTAAGGCTACAACAAATTGGCAATTGCTAAAAACTCCACTGATTTTAGACATTCTTTACCAATTGACCACAGGGAATAATTAAAAAAAAAAAAGTAAATAAATTAATCCTTAACAACAGGGAGCAATAGCATTCATATCATTGGCATTGCTTGTTAGTGTTGATACTGCAGTACATGTTGCTTGGTATAACGATATACAAGTCTTGAAACAAATTTCCCAGCAGTAGTATCCTTGTATAGACTGAATAAAGGTTATTTTCTACAGGGAGGTATCTTATAAGAAAAAACAGTAGGGGAGACCATAGAAGTGAGAGGATCCTATGGAGCTTTTTGTATTTAACAACAATCAATGGGTTTTATGGAAAATCATTGAGCAAAATGTGAGCTGCAAGCTCACTACCCCATACTGATGTTATTTATAACCTTAGTCTTAAACTGCAGGAAAAGTACACTTCCGTTCTATGGGGAATACATTAAAAGTATAAAGAGCAGATAAAAAGACAGAGCATTTCATGGATCACCAAGAACAAAATCCACTTAAATGAGCTTAGAGTTGGTTTCTTGGCTTTCACTGATGGAGAAGGACTATAAGGCATTGCCCAAGAGGAAAAAGCTGTTACCTAAGTGTGTTTGTTACCTCATGCATAAACATGGGATTACTGTAACACACATACATGCATATACGGTGTTTACTTCTAGCTACTTTAACTCTGTCAAGACTGTATTATCATTTCTTATGATTAGGGGAAATTTCCGTTTCTGCTCTGCATACATGGATTCTCTGTTTTTTAGTAAATATTTGAGTGATAAAAGATGAATAGCTGCTGGTTTGCAAGATAGCAGGAAGGATAATTTTTTCCCTTCTGTGTTGCCTAGGTAAATCATCATTAACATCCTATATGTGAAGTGCTAGCCCCAGTAATACAGGTTTTAACTTAGCGGGGATGCAGCCATGAAATATTTGTTCAGTAACCCTATCTGTAGAAAATGGCACAGTATGAAGAGGGTCAGCTGGTGCTTATCCAGCATCAGCAGGGTCTCCAGCTCATCTACTGAATTAAGTCTCAATGCCAGGAACATTGTTTCTCACTTGTTTAAAAAAAAAGGAGGAAAAAAGACAGACTAAAGTTACTTTAGGGGTACACAATAAGAACATTTATCTGCCAGTTACCAACATTATTGGCCAATTTAAATCCCAGATTAAATAATACATTCTAAAGACACGAGACTCAAACAAAAGCATGCTCCCTGCAATTAGCTGAATAATTGTTAAGAACAAAGAGAGGAGAGGAGAGTTTATGATGTAACTTGTTACCTGCAGATGGCAGACTGGCTATAGGCTGGGCCTTCGGTGGCGCTTAGGGCTTGGCCAACTTGAGTCTGTGTCAGGCCAAGGGACAGGCGCCGGATTTTAAAAGCTTTGGCAAATTCTCGTATTTCTTCCAGATTCACCCCATCCACCTCTCCAGTGGCTGTTTGAGGATCTGTTGAAATATTTTTTTAATCACGTCAGTTCTTTGCGTCACATATGAGTGGGCCAGGCTTACACCAACTTTCATTGTCAAGATGTTCGTGTTAAGTTTTTTTTTAATACTTGTCCCTTTCTCTTCTTCCCCAAACAGAAGCAGGCTTGCCTTGTCAGGGTGTTATGAAGCACGTTCAGGTTGCTAAAATGCTAACTAGTCTGCAGTGTTTCCAGGTGCTGGTGAAAGATTTTCAAAGACACATTTCATTGCTGAACTCCTGAAAATGGCCAGCTCACCTCAGAGCTGAGGGTGTGCCTGGGCTCCTCGGTGCTTGGGCTCCTCACTGCCATTTGTGCCATGCAAAATCTTCCCCAGATTGACGAGTCATGTTCCCCATTTCCCCTTCTTATTACATACAGAAGGAAGGATGCTGTTAATATATTTATTTGCAGTCTATGGGAGGGAGGGCTAAATATTTGCATGAACTGCTCGGGTTTTTAATTTGAAATCAAGACTTTCAACTTTATGTAAAATTAATGCCAAAGAAGGAGATTCACCCACCTTCCTTCCCTTTTTCATGATACCCAACCCAAACTGCCAGCCAAACGTCCAAGATAACCCAGAAAATGAAAAGCCCCAACAAAATGCTGCCTTTAAAAGCTCCTTAATTTAAAAATGATCTTTTAAAATATGCCTTTCTGAGAAGCAGCCTTTCAAGCTTTTCATTCTGCCTCCCATCAGGTTGGTAATCAAGGAGCAGCAACATTAGCCATTAGGTTTCGGATAGTAATGCTGCACAATTTTTTACTTTTGCATTAGCCCCTCAGAAGATAATGCTTATGATGCTGTGAGAATAAATCTGTCCTTCTTTTCCATAGCAGTTTACTGATGCAGAAGCCTTTGTCCCTGAAAGGGCAGATAATAAAGCATGTCTACCACAGGAAAGCTCCTTTGGTGCTGGATAACTCGGTCAATTTAGGACTTATCAAAGGAAATGACACAACAGCTGGAGAACAGAACTTTTTTTCCCCCCAAGCTACTGATCCCTGGCTAAATGAAAGCGTTTGCCAAGTCAGAGACAGCATGGGACTGGGATGGTGGAAGATTTCAAAGTGTTGTGCAATCCTGGGTGTAGTGATGCCATTCTCCCGGTGAGACATCTCTATTGTTCTTCACCTCATTCCTCAGACTTCTTAGGTGAAAAGTTTGCGGCACAATAACCCATCAATTTCTGTAAACACAAGCAGTTGTCCAAGGATGGTGCTAGACTACATTACTATTCTGAACCCTATATGAAAGGGGACCTTGCTAGTATTGCCACAGCTAAGGGCTTGTCAGCATTACAATAACAAAGCTTGTATTTTCAGCGGTTTATAAACCTGATATAAAATACCCTTATGATGGAAATGTCCTATAAAAAAATCTTTTAGTCCATAACAGACAGAAGGAGGAGGTTATCCTGCTGTATCAATTTAGCCTATATTGATTCATAGCTTGAGTGTAAGAAACACAAATTATTTTTAAAAATACATTTGTGTACAACCAGGGACCACATGAACTATGCACACAGGTAAACATGCACACAGGCTGAACCTAGTTTTGATAATGGTGCACACCCAGCATCATCCCTCCTGTTGTCAGTGCTGTGCCTAAGCTCATCTATGCACACACACATGCACTCACTCAGTGTAAAGCTAGGGCCCATATTATTTGCTTTTAAGTAGTTGGTGCTATGACAGTGGCCACTCAGGTTTGTAAAGTAATTGCCTTTAGAGGTGTAAAATTTTCCTACTTACCCAATATGCTGTCTATCTGGCATAACAGTTCTGATTTTCAGAGCTGGATGCTTATCTGCCCTTTGAGTCTCTGAAGAGCAACTGATAAATGTACAAAATGTAAGTTATAATGGCCTCAAAGATTCCCTTGAGTAAGGTGCACTAAGATGGTGACCTTCCTCATCTCTTTCCTTCCTTCACTTCAAGGCCTCTGACTAAGGCTATTAGGGATGTGACAAAGGACAATTCAGGTGTTCCCAGAGAACTTTCAAAGTAGCAAACACTTTGGCAAGTGGCACCTGTAAACCTCCCCAACTCCTGTTAGGAATAAAAGGGAAGGTAAGAAAGCTAAGAGGTTATTTGCTTGCACATGATTATGGGAAATTCTGCCAAGTTCTGCTGATCTTTCTGGTATGACACTGTTGCAGCTGTGAATATCATGGAAAGTCCTTTCCTGCTCTGGGGGCTTGGCAAGGTAATAATTAGTCTGAACTCTCCTTGAGATGAAAAAAAAAGCTGTGATGCACTTCAGGAATATGGGAATAGATTGTAATATATGGCGGAGTATCTGTTGAGAAAGAGGCTTCATTCTTACAAAGTGTCTTTGGGAGGAGAAAAGTACTAACAGAGGTAGACCAGAACACTGAAGCCTTGTATTCCTGAACTCTAAGGAAAACAGCATTTGTATCAACTCAGAACCAT